CGGCCTTACAACATCTTCCCATGGAGTAAACCAAATCTTTTAATTCTGCAGCTGTTATCGTGTGAAACCAAGATTGAATGATTGCTTCTATTAACTGGGTTTTATTGCCGGGTCGCTTCTGACTAATAAGTTTCTTTAGATGGCTCCATAGATTTGCAATTGGGTTAAGGTCTGGGCTATTCCCAGGCCATTCCAGCAGTAGAATATGATTATCGTGAAACTACCCCCAAAAAGGGTTGTTAATGGCCATCAAACCTCAAAAATACACTTTTTCCTAAAAGGTTTCCACAATTTTGGCCACTACTGTAAAGAGCTACATTGCAAAATTACTCTGATCGCTCCATTGAACTACCTTCGCTATTATTAAAATGTCCAACTTCTCCAATTCAAGTTATTAAAATAAATGCTTCGGACTTCTTGTGTTGTGCGCCACTAAATTCCATTTATAATAACTTCTGAGGACTTGGGGACTATAAATGAACTTATAAAAGTGCAGCAATAGGTGTTATGTTAATTTAACTCATCTTTCCTACAATATAAAAAATAACCTTCAGACAGCACTTAACCAAGTGGTTTCAAATAATATAAAGTTATCAGTGCTGGTAAAATATAACATAGCCCGAGGGGAACAAAAAAGAAAAAGAAAAGAAAACAGAAAAATAAGAATTTCACCCTATCCATCTCAAGGATGAATTTTAAGGAAGAATCCTTTGATCATTTGTCAACTGTGCCACCCAAGAAATATGAATCAGGCTATAAATTGAAACTGAGATGTTATCAAGAATCTGATGACTCACACAGATTTTGTAAGAACATTAAAAGCCACGGTGCAGAGATAAATGCAGTCCATCATTTTACATCTTCCATTACCAATCAGATGCTTAAAAGAAGCCCCAAGCAAGATATGAGTACCACAAAGCCAACCACCCATGTTTCTCCAGAATTAATGTACCGTCTCATGAAGAATAGAAAAAAATAATAATAATATGAAATTGGAAGGTGGTCCATACCATGATTAACCTCTGGAAGATATATAATATAAATCTAAATTTTAATTTAATTTAGTCTAAGCTAAGAATATCCTAGGCCACTGATTTCACTGTGAGAATTGTGCCAAGATATGTTTTTTTCTCCAATTTAAATTAGTTAACTTTCACTGTAATATGTCCAACTTTTCAAACTCAAGAGAGGCAATAAATTAACAGACCCTAAATAATTCATATCAGTGAAAAAATAATATTGCAGCTAATAGCAATTAAGAAGCTTTATAATCAACTGATTTATTTTTCCTCCTCTGCATTCAGTCCTTGTTCGTGTTAAATTATACTTTCAAACATGATGTGGGATGTAGTTTCTAACTTCCACTGCCATTCCAAATTAGGCTTCAAAAGTATCCTCCCTCCCTTCCTTCCTTCCTTCCTTCCTTTCCTTCCTTCCTTCCTTCTTTCCCTAAATCTTCCTTCCTTCCATTGTTCCTCCCTTCCTTCCACCTCCCTTCCTTCTTCCATTCTTCCTTCCTTCCTTCCCTCCCTCCCTGCCTAAATCTTTATTTCTTTCTTCCTTCCTTCTTTCCTTCCTTCCTTCATTCCTCCCTCTCTTCCCTCCTTCTCTTCCCTCTCTCTCTCTGCCTAAATCTTCCTTCCTTCCATTCATTGTTCCTCCCTTCCTTCCACCTTCCTTCTTCCTTTCTTCTTCCTTCCCTCCTTCCCTCCCTGCCTAAATCTTTATTTATTTATTCCTTCCTTCCTTCCTTCTTCCCTCTCTTCCCTCCCTCCCTGCCTAAATCTTCCTTCCTTCCACCTTCCTTCTTCCATTCTTCCTTCTTTCCTTCCTTCCCTCCCTGCTTAAATCTTTATTTCTTCCTTCCTTTTTTCCTTCCTTCCTTCGTTCCTCCCTCTCTTCCCTCCCTCCCTCTCTTCCCTCCCTCCCTGCCTAAATCTTCCTTCCTTCCTTCCTTCCTTCTCTCCCTCCCTCCTATTTTGGAAACTGGGAGAAATGGGTCCATAACAGTGGTGGGTTGCACCCGGCAGGAGGCTCCGCCCACTGCCCTGGATGTCATCATAGGCGATCTGTGCATGCGCGGAAGCTTGGCACGCAAGCAAGCGAAGTGATCCCGTTGCGAACTGGTAGTAAAGGTAAGTAGAACCCACCCTTTGTCCATAAGCCTTCTGTTCTATTCCTACTTTTTAAAAAACAGAAAGAGAAGAAACTTAAAGAACATAGCGTGGAAGCCAGTAAGTAGCCAAAGATTATCTATCCCTGTGCTGTTAGATAAAAAGTGGAGCATCCAATTAATTAATTAATTAACGGAATGGCTTTCTTACAGGAGCTGTGGATGCTCCATCACTGGAGGTTTTTAAGAAGAGATTGGACAATATTTTGCCTGAAACGGTATAGGGTTTCCTGCTTCAACCGGGAGTTGTATTAGAAGACCTCCAAAGTCCCTTCCAACTCTTTTATTCTGAAAGTATTTATAATAGCCAGAGATGGCTTTGCTTTAGCTCAATACTCACAACTGAATAAACATGCCAGCCTATTCTTTTGTCTCTTTATCCATGGCAATATTCCAAGATATCCTACTTAAACCTGTTGGGGACTCAGGAGAAGCAAGTGCAGATGTCTATAAACAAACAAAGTTTTCTTAAAAATTAATGTTCAGTCTGAAATCTTGTGATGATGCCTCTGATACGTATTTCCTATTCTTAGCCTTGCATTGACTCCCAAGCTAGCTTTTTGGGATACTGCAAAATCAGGAAAAATAATAATAATAATTAATTAGTCACTACAATCCAACCGTCACTTTGGCATTTTAATTTCCAGGCTATGTCTTGCAATTGCGGGAACTGCTTTCATTCAGGGGCTTAATACTCTAATTTATTTTATTTATTAATCCACATTAATATTCCATTAAAGTGCTTTTAAGAGACTTACAATAAAAATGAGAACACCAGTACACCAATCAAAAGCATTAATAAGGTAAAAGATATAACTTATTCCGATCTGATTAAATCCTTCTTAAACAACTGAAAACTCTTAAAACTATCTTCAAATGTTTTCTGAAAGCTAAAAGAGTGTCAGCGGACCTCAGGATTGATCCAAAGAAGAAGCTAGGACTGAGAATGTAATTTTCCTGGCCCCAACCTTTCATATGGCAGCATCTGAAGTTGTAACTTGGATCATCTTCTTTTAACGATCCCATAATCCTTTGCGGGGTGAAGTCTAAACAGCTGAATGGAGCTAGAAGAATGTTTTCAGTGGCCAGATACCCTTCCTGTCACCAGTGCAGAGTTTTGTTCAGCAAATATTCTCAGTGTGCCCAGAGAGAGAAAAATATCTGCCTCTACCTAGGATCGAACTCACAGCCTTTTGATTGTGAGACGAGAGCTCAACCACTAAGCCATCACACCACTCCTCTGTTGTAACTTGGATGCTGGACAAAATTTATTTGCAGCAGGCAAATCCAAAGTCAGTAAGTGCCAAGCCTGTTGCTACCACAGCTTTAATCAATTTCACTACAGGTAGTCCTTGATTTACAATTTGTTTAGTGATCGTTTGAAGCTGCAAATAGCAGTGGGAAAAGTGACTTATGGTGGTTTTTCACACTTGTGACCATTGCAACATTCCTGTGGTCATGTGATCAAAATCTGAAGAGTTGGCAACTGGCATGTACTTATGACAGTTGCACAGCTCCGGGATCACATGATCACCATTTTTAACTTTCCTAGCTGGCTTTTGACAAGCAGAGTCAAAGGGGAAAGCCAGATTCCTTAATGACCACACGATTCGCTTAACAACTGTGGCAAAAAAAATGGGGCAAACTAACTTAATAACTGCCTTGCTCAGCAACCTAAATGTTGGGGTCAATTGAGGTTGTATGTTACATATTCCCTTTCATGGTCTTCTTTTATCTATTCCTGTTCTAATGCAGGGGTGTCAAACTCGATTTCACTGAGGGCCGCATCAGGGTTGTGTCTGACCTCGTGGGGAGGGGGGGGCGAGTAGGCATGGCCAGGGTGGGCATGGCCAGCTCAACGTCCTGCAGCCCTCTGCCAGCAAAAACGGAGCCGGCAGAGGCACCAAGGGACAGTCCTTTGCTGTTTCCAGGGCGGCCCAGTGGGCCAGGTCTAAGCACTCTGCAGGCCAGCCTTGAGTTTGACAGCTCTGTTCTAATGGATTTGCAACATATTTTAAATTTCTGATTGTGTGTATGCCACCCAGAGTTACTTTATATAAGAGAAAAACAGACAGAGCTTTGGGGGGGGGAGTAAAACACATCATCAGCTTAGAATCATTGCGTTCCAAGTCCAAATTTTCCTGAATTCCATTGATCCTTATCCGGCATCAATTAATTTTAGTTGGTATTGAACTTTAGTTGATTAGATTCTTATGTATCAGATTAAATACATCTTCTATGCTACAAATGCTCCTGATTCTCTGTGCCTAACAATAAGTTACTTTTCCGGTCCCACCTAAAGTCTCAGGATCAAAGGCTAAAATCACACAATTGCTATGAAATGCACCCATGCATGGCACAGGGTTCCTTACCAAAATTTGGGATCTAAATCAAGACTGCATACTTTACCTTACAGCTATTAAATCTAATAATTTTGGATTCCCCTACAATATGTATATCAGCACACCATAAATAGCAAAATAAATGAAACTTGTTAGTGATCAATCAGTCAGTTTAAGAATGGAATTGATTTTGTTATTAATCTTGACATTCTCAATTCATCCCATTCTCAATTATCCCCTCTCAAGGCTTCATTTGTATTTAAGAGACCACAGATTTGTCACAGGAAAATTGGGATAAAAATACTTAAATTAGATTTCATATTATCCCAAATTTTTAGGCCAGAATTATATTGAAGATGAATCTACTACAGCAGATTAGAGAGACATGCAAATAGTCAATATAAGGTATAATACTGGCAAATGATTTATTTTTACTGGTGTTATATCATGCATTTGAAGTTAAGACAGACAACTGATATACTCACCGGAACTTTGCTTCCAATTATCTGCATGCAGTGATCAGCGGAGAGAAGTGAGAGCAATGAATAGAAACAAAAACAAAAACGAAAAGTACAATAAATAAGCTGAAGCATTTCACACAACCCACCAAGTGTTTAGGATTTAGTAAATTGTTAAAAGATGTTTAAAATTAAAAACAGAAATATTCATAAACAAGCAAGTCCAAGAACTATAAAAAGAGATACTTTAATTGCACATATCCATAACAGTTTAATCTAGCAAAGAGGACTTGTTTGATTAAGAATACAGTGTGTGTATTAGTGCATGCAAAAAAAGAACAGTGAGGAATTCATTAGGCACACATTTTCACAAAACTGCCTCTTTTTCCGGAGAAAAAGCTTGTTACAGGTTAGACAGCTGCAGCAAGCCGACTAAATTGCAGTGGTACTTTTATTATGTTTTCACTCTAAAAATTTAAACAGCTCTCTATTTTCATTCAGTGCGTCTACACAGAATGCCAGTCATAATAAAGAGTTGCATTATGTTCATTTCGTAATTAACAATTAATTACTATATATAATTTCTACGTTCCCACCTTTGAAAAACAAGGTGATTAGTACTACAAGATAATTGTCTTTTTTTGCAATTATCACACCAAAGGGCTCACAACAGGAGAAAATTGTGCTGCTGACTCAATTCTAGACCTGATTTCTAAAGAGAATGGCTAGAAGAAAGATATAGTTCGAAACATAAGGAAGAGCAAAAAAAAAAAAAAAATGGAGAATGGAATGAGCCAATCTTAATCTATCTCCATCTCCAGTCTCTCTCTCCCTCTCTCTCCCTCTCTCTCTCTCTCCCTCCCTCCCTCCCTCCCTCCCTCCCTCTCTCTCTCTCTCTGTCTATCCATGGCTCTTGTGGTACAAAGAGATGTTTGCTTCATCATAGTTCTAGCAGCATCCTGGGAAAATTCACATGAAGCTAGCTAAACATCTGTACAATCTCCTGTTGTATGATAATGGCTGGTGGGACAACATTTAAGGATCTATAGATACAAGTCAAAAGGGACGCGGTGGCTCAGTGACTAAGATGCTGAGCTTGTCGATCTAAAGGTCGGCAATTCAGCAGTTCGAATCCCTAGTGCCGCGTAACAGGGTGAGCTGCCGTTACTTGCCCCAGCTTCTGCCAACCTAGCAGTTCAACCTAGCACGTAAAAAATGCAAGTGGAAAAATAGGGACCACCTTTGGTGGGAAGGTAACAGCGTTCCGTGCGCCTTTGGCGTTTAGTCATGCCAGCCACATGACCACGGAGACGACTTCAGACACGCTGGCTCTTTGGCTTTGAAACGGAAATGAACACCGCTCCCTAGAGTCGGGAACGACTAGCACATATGTACGAGGGGAACCTTTACCTTTACCTTTGCCTTAGATACAAGCCAGATTTCACCTCCATCATCTTCTCCAAAAGTTCTAGCAGAATATAGTAATAATAGTGACTTACTGTTCAACACAGACCTAATACTGTATCTTTTGCCAAGTATCACTAGATGGAATGTTATTATTCGGAGGAGATATCTGACACAGAGAAAACATTTTAATGCATTCATGCAATGAAATACAGGGTCAAGAGGCTAAATGCGTACCAGAAACATCTGAGTTCAAGTCCCCATTCAAATATAAGACTTTTAAATTCAAACACCTGAAGAATTGTCTAACTGCAATCAGGATTAGCCTGCTCTACTCTCCACAGACAAAACGGGCATGTTGAAGATCCCCTCAAAACAAGGAATTGGCTATGTATGCAAATTCCACTTAGAGTTAGGGTTAGGTCTCCATGAATTTAGAGAGCAAAATGGACATCACCAACGATTTCGTAGCACATCGGTATACTTAGGTGCGCTCTGACTTTTCAAGCACCCCCTATCTACCTTTAGTGGTAAAATATATGGGAAAATTCCATGGGTGGTGCTGGGAGAGCAAATCCAACTAGGGTTAGGGTTAGGTCTCCATGAATTCTGAGAGCAAAATGGACATTGCCAATAGATTTGTAGTGCATCAGTTTGGTTAAGAGAGTGCTGAGTTTTTGAGCCCCCCCTATCTACATTTCCTGGTATAATACATGGAAAAATGCCATTGGGTGGCAAATCCACCTAGGGTTAAGGTTAGGTCTCCATAAATTTGCAGGGTAAAATGGACATCACCAACCAATTCATAAGGCATCGGTACGCTTAGGAGGGCTTTGATTTTTCAAGCACACCCTATTTACCCGTTATGGTAAAATATATGAGAAAATCCCATTGGGGACCAAATTCATCTACGGCCGTGATGGCGAACCTATGGCACGCGTGCCACAGGTGGCACGCGGAGCCATATCAGTGGGCATGCGAGCTCAGCTCCGGCGTGCATGTGCACGCTGGCCAGCTGATTTTCGGGCCTTTTGGGCCCACTGGAAGTCAAGAAAAAGGCTGTTTCCGGCTTCCAGAGGGCCTCCAGGGGATGGGGAAGGCTATTTTTGCCCTCCCAAATCTCCTAGAAAGGCTCTGGAGCCTGGGGAGAGCAAAAAATGGGCCTACCTTGCCCTCGCACGCCAAAAATGGAGGGAGCGCATGGGGGTCGCACACACATGCGCAGAGGGCCGTGCGCATAGAATTATAGGTGTGGGCATGCACATGAGCGACTCCCTGCACTCCCCCCACTTTTGGCACGCGATGACAAAAAGGTTAGCCATCACTGATCTAGGGTATTGTGGCCCGCCGGTGGTCAGCAGAGTCGGACAGTGAGGAGGTTGGGGAGGAACATGGGCCAGTCCTAGGGGCTGGGGAAAGCTCAGACGAGGGTTCTGTGTCAGAAGCAGAGAGGGAGATAGACAGCCAGAGCCTGTTCCCAGTATGCACAGAGCTGCCAGAAGATAACAGCGTTCCGTGCGCCTTTGGCGTTTAGTCATGCCGGCCACATGACCACAGAGAAGTCTTCGGACAGTGCTGGCTCTTCAGCTTTGAAGCAGAGATGAGCACCGCCCCCTAGAGTTGGGAATGACTAGCACATGTGTGTGAGGAGAACCTTTACCTTTTAAACAATGATTTGCATTTCGAGAAGCCTGGGGAGTGATATCATATAAACAGAAGGGGTTTCTTATTGCCTGCATTTATTTATGCTTTACTTCTTTGTCCTGCTTTTGCACTTTGTGTAACGTTGCCTGCCCTAAAAGGGACCAGCCTGATGGATATTAATGCACGTATATATGTACAGTTGAATGTACTATTAAAATGACTGCATGTGTTCAACTTTGCATTTAGAGTTGCTTGCCTTCTGTTCCCTGTTTACAAACAGGCCCATAATCTCATTTATGAGTTTTCTTTCATATAACACATGAGTATTCATACAGCATTATCTCCATTCTGCATTCTGATTTCGTTATGTTGGGATTTATTCTAATTCTGCCTTTAGGCATTTGGAAAAAAAAAGGGGGGGGGACGGAATGCGCAAGCTCACATCTCCCAAATCACCTTAACTACAAAAACAATAACTTGAGCACAAAACTGAGGAAAGATGCTGAGGTTTTTGACGTTTCGAAGTAACGCAAAGCTCCATCCATCTCATAATTCTGTCTAAAATAGGCTAGGGGCACTCAAAGCACTTATCAGTGGAAACATATTTCTGCCCTCGGATAGCCAAGCAAATTGAAGAACATGAAATCTATCCATTCCGGTTCTGGTAAAAGCTTGTAAAAAAAAATGTTGCCGAAAGATGAAGAAGAGAAAACTCTTGCTATTGTTTTCATTTTACGAAGTTTCCTACTCTGCTTATAAGGTTAGGTGTAGCAAAAGCTATCGTATTTTTCGGAGTGTAAGACACACCTTTTCCCCCCTAAAAGGAGGTGAAAATTTAGGTGCGTCTTATACACCAAATGTAGCCCTGCCCACCCAATGGCCCCCACCCTTTGGCCTCTGCCTCACAGCACTTGACTCTGCAAGCAAACAGCAAGAAAAAACAGCTCCTTTCAGCTTCAGCACAGCCTAATTAGCACAAGTTGATTGGATCAGCCTCCCGACTCTCAGCTGTTTTGCTCTCAGCTGTTTTGTGCAGGGCTCTGCTGCTTGCTGCAAAGAGATAAATTGCTGGGAGCAGATTTTTTTTTTCCTTGTGCTAATCAAGCTATGCTGAAAACAAAAATGAAAGTAAAGCAGGCTGTTTGCTGTTTGCTGCAACGAGGCAAAATTGCTCAGAGGCAGAGGCAGATTTCTTTTTCTTCTTTTCCTCACCAAAAACGTAGGTGCATCTTATAGTCTGGTGCGTCATATACTCCGAAAAATACAGTATTTTGCATATAGGATGACATCTGAGAAAGCCTACACAGTCTTAAGTAGTTGGAGCCTGATATTATCAGGATCAATTGCGTCACTTACAATACCGTGCCATTTTTTTTTCTCCATCAATATAGGAGAACATTACGGTAGGTACAGATAGTCCTCAACGTACAACCACAATCGAGCCCAAAATTTATGTTGCTAAGGGAGACATATGTTAAGTGAGTTTTGCCCCATCTTTCTTGCCACAGAGGTTAAGTGAATCACTGCAGTTGTTAAATTAAACCGGCTGTTAAGTGAATCTGGCTTCCGGTTGTTAAGTGAATCTAGCTTCCCCATTGCATTCTCTCACTGCAGTTGTTAAATTAATCTGGGTTAAGTGAATCTGGCTTCTGTTGTTAAGTGAATTAGCTTCCCCATTGCATTCTCTCACTGCAGTTGTTAAATTAATCTGGTTGTTAAGTGAATCTAATTCCGGTTGTTAAGTGAATTTGGCTTCCCCATTGACTCTGCTTGTCAGAAGGTTACAAAAAGGGACCCCAGAACACTGCAAACCGTCATAAATATGAGTCAGCGGTCCAGCGTCTAAATTTTGACCACGTGACCACGGGGATGCTGCAACGGTCGTAAGTGTGAAAAACGATCATAAGTCACTTTTTCCAGTCCCATTGTAACTTCAAACAGTCACTAAATGAACTGCTGTATAGTGTCGTAGTCACCAAATGCAGATTTCTATTAGCAAAACGCAAGCACTGTAGCCAGGGGATCATTTCAGCACTTGAAAACGACAATTAATTTCACGACTTCCCTTGAAGGTCTTGCCAAAATCCCATCTCTCTTGAATACACCGTTTTTATAAATGTATCTGAAATACAGTACTTTTAAAACTTGAAAACAAAATGAGTTATAGGTGGCTTGTTTAGCAACAGTTCAGATTTACAAGAGCAATGGAAAAAAAGTGACTTATGATCAGTCCTCGCACTTACGACCACTGCAGCATCCCCACGGTCATATAGTCAGGAAACTGGCCGGCTGTCGGGGTTCTGATGGATGCCCTAATTGAATCATGAGCCTCGAGCCAAGCAGTTATTTATTTAGGAGCTCCATGTCGGCAGGTACCCAAATGAAGCCACCTCTGACCCCACGTAATTTACAGGCCCTAATCATGACCCTGTTTCCCACCTCCCCCCAGGATGTGTCATCAATCACATTCGCCAACAGAGCAATTTCGCGGGTTGTAGAGATCACTCCCCTCCGGCCACTGTGGGTAACCCTGGGAGACAGCCTTGAGAAAGATATGTCTGGAATGTGCTCCTGTCTTTGGCTGCCATGTTGCTTCGTCAGATTCCCATCCCCCTTGCCTATGACAACTTGAGAGCAGGCCAGGGATGCTTTGCGAGTTGACATCGTTATTTATGACAGCTGAAGCATTCTGGAGTCACTGATGAGCATTTGCAGCCTTCCAAGATGGCGTCCAACTAGCCAAGTCAATGGGGAAAGCCAGATTCATTTAATGGCTGCATGATTCATTTAACAAGTCTATTGATTCACTTAACAACCATGGCAAAATAGGTGACAAAATCAGGTGTGACTCAGTTAACAACCCGTTTATAGCTCACATTGTTTAGCACCTGAAATTCTGGTCCAAATGTGGCTGTAAATCATTGCTATTCCATGCAATTCCACAGCCAAGAAACTCTATTGGCCTGGTCTACAAGTACAACTTGTTTCAAAGTATGGGGTGGAAAATGTTTCCAGTTTGAGTTCAACACAAACAAATCGACAACGGACTGCTTTGTTAGACCATGAAAGGTGTTTGCTGTTTGGCCTTGTAATCTGTATTTTAAAGCAATCGGTTAGAATCGAGAAGCCTTTTGTAAAAGCTACTTTACAAAGAAATTGCAAAGCAATTGCAGAATTTTGCGTAACTCTCCTAACAATCGGATTCCTAAACAGATTTGAACATCACGAGACAGGAAAGGAAACATCCCAAGAAAGAACAGCATAGGAAAATGAAATCATTGATCCCAGCAGTTTTTTTTTTTTTTTAATAGCACCAAATTTATAGCATCAATCAACAAGAAAGCAGTTAGGAAAGATATTTTTTGCACCTTAAGACAGAAAGTGTTTTTTTTTTTTTTTTTTTTGCTTTTTCTTTCTGCTATCATGCATGCAAGAGACACTGTGGAAAAAGCTTGATAATTATTCCAGAGCAGTGGATTTAAAATACTTATTGGTTTACTGTAAGGAGAGAATCGTGTTTCAAATTGACTATCCGGTTGTGAGATATGCAATACATTCTAATTAAGGCTTTTTATCTACCCTTGAAGGCATTTTAAAGGATTTCAGGAAAGAAAGCTTTGTAGGTGCTCTTAATAACGATAAAACTGAAGCAGAAATTTGGAGATTTGAGTTGAAAACTGCAGATGTTGTTAAGAGTATTAGTCTGACCTATCTTGGGAAGCGAGGAAGGCAGAAACTCTACTCACAGATTTGGCAGTTGCAGAAATGTACTGGACAACCATTTCACGTTTCGTGGTCAAATCTTTATTCCGTAAAGGAGCTTTTCGTTCTTCATTTAGATTCATGTCTTCCTATAAATAAATAGGCATAACATTGCCAAGATTGGATTATTATGTCATAGTTTTTACTTAATCTTCATGACTGCAGATGCTAAGAATTGCTCTACATCTATTGCAAAATGTAGGGTTGACTGGTTTACTTGAGACAGGCTATATTCCTCATCATTATCCTAAGCTATTAGTTTGTGGAAAAGGCTTTCATGTACACTTCAAACTCTTCCTTTTTTTTTTTTTAGTCCCCATATCATACCCAATGCCAAGACTGGAATTAGCACAGGGCTGGGAAGAGATATATGTCTTGGCTCAAAAACTGTTGTAACAAGTCATCAAAGAATATTTATTCTAACAGAAACTGAGAATGGCTGGAAAACAGTATGAGGGTTGAAGGCAGCCATTTTGTCTGCTTTCTCTTCTACCCCATTATCGTATTTTACCCCAGTACCGTATTTTCTGGAGTATAAGATGCACCTCCCCCCCCCAAAAAAAAGAGGCTGAAAATTTGGGTGCATCTTATACTCCGAATGTAGCTTTTTTGAAGCTTTTTTCAGCCCTAATGAGGCACTAACGAGGCACTAACGAGTGAAGCGATCTTCCCAGCTTTGCCTGCTCCATCGACTCTCCCGCTGTGCTTTAATGAGGCGCTAGTGATTGAAGTGATCTCCATGCTTTGCTCCGACTCTCACCTGTTCTTTAGCATCTTTTTTTCAGCCCTAACAAGGCGCTAGCCGAGTGAAATGATCTCCCTGTGCTTTGCCTGCTTTTCTCATTGCTGCTTCCGCTCAGCTGTGCTTTAGAAGCTGTTTTTTATCCCCAAGCAGGGGATAAGAAAACTAGCAAACTAATGTGCTGAAGCTGACCAGACTTAGGACGCTAGCCAGATGAATACCTGGTAGGCGGATTTTTTTTCCCCTTCCCCCTATTTTCCCCCCAAAAAACTAAGCTGCGTCTTATACTCCGGTGCGTCTTATACTCCAAAAGAGACAGTAATTTGCACTGTGAAGTTTCCGAAAGATGCCGTAATTAATTCATGCACATTAAAACAGTGGACAAAATTTTGGAAACAGCGTTACCATAACTTACATTAAACATGGCTCTCAAGGTTGTTGTCAAGCCTGAATTTGAATTGGGTGTGGGATTGTTTGTATCTTTGGGTATTCTAATATGAATTCAGTTTGACACAGTTTGGAGCTGAAGGAGGATAGAGCTCTCAGTCATAACATCATAGCTAGCTGAGGAGTCACACACATTCCAACGGCTGGGTAACCGGAGGAGGAGGAGAGAAGTCACCAAGCAACCAGCTCCCGACTTGGTTGGACAAGTTGAGAGTTTGTTTTGGAAACTTGAGAATCTAAAACTTATATTGGAGTGAAAAGCCCGGGAACTTCAGTACTGGCTTTTCACCAGTTAGTGCCAATATGGTGTATCTAAATAAATGTGTACTTTGAGAAAAAGGAATGCCTCGGAGTTCAATTTGTGATGGATGCATTACTTGGAACCTGACAGTTGTCTTTTAGGAGAACGAATCCCAGATTTTATAATACTTACCACTTAGGAATGATTATGATAAACATAATTTAATGCCAAGTATACCTTCCAATCAGTCTTAAATTTAAGCAACATATATAATGTACATATACAATACATTTAAGTTTTGTTTACATAAGAGTTTCAATCGGTCTTAGACCAGTAGAAGCAACGTGCCCATGAGTGCTTAAGTACTATCTTAAGAGACAGTAAATAAAATTTAAGACAAAACTAAAATAGGTTTATAAAACAATCTATCTAGAAATCCATTTCGAGTAAAGTGCAAATGGGACAACCTATCTCTAGGTTATAAAGGAGTATCTAAAATTATATAAAATGGCGTATCATGTAAAATTACAAAAATGTGACAGTATCTAACATTTATATAAAGTGTGATAACATATTAAATTAGAAAAAATGATAGTATCAAAGATTAGATAGTATCTTTGTAGATACTATCTAGATACATAGGAGTACCTATGTATCAAGATATATTACATTTTATAGCAATAGCATTTAGACTTATATATCACTTTATAGTGCTTTACAGCCCTCTCTAAGCAGTTTACAGAATCAGCATATTGCCCCCAACAATCTGGGTTCTCGGAAGGATGGAAGGTTGAGTCAATCTTAAACTGGCCAGAATTGAACTCCTGGCAGTCAGCAGTCAGCAGAATTTGCCTGCAATACTTCATTCTAACCTCTGCGCCATCATGGCTCTTTAGCTAATAAATTAGCCATTACATCTGCATAGCAGGAACAGGTCCATGAGCAGTCCGGTGGATCCCAGATGCTATGGTACAATGCACGAGTTACATGCATTGTAACAAAAGTCAGTTTATCTATGACCAATATCTGGCCAACTCTGAGCAACCAGGATATCTGCTGATCAGAAGGAAGATCAATCTGGTTACAGTCTTGCTGTAAAAAGAGCTATGAAGAAGAACATTCTCTGTGGATTCCAGAAAGACAAAGGTACAGTCTTTCAACGCCTGGTCCTTTCTTATATTTGTCATCTGATATTGCAGAGGTGATTGTTGTGGCATGCCACCTGCCAGCGGAGCTGTTGGCAGACGATGGGGAGGTTGGGGAGAAACTTGAGTTAGTGCTGGAGTCTGGGGAAGGCTCTGATGGATGCTCTGCATCAGATGCAGAGATAGAGCCAGGGCCATCCAACAATTCCCAGCCACCGGAGAGGCAGCTGCCATGGAGGCCGAGATAAGTGGGGAGGAAAAACAGCTGGGGCCTGTTCCAGATGCCCATATATGCAGAGCTGTTAGCAGAGGAGAACAACGGAAGACAAGGAGTTGACTTGGGAAGCAAGGCACAAATGGACGTTGAATGGCCCCTCCCTGCCTGGGGAATAAATAAAAGGAAAGGGGAGTGGTGGTCGTAGGAGACAACAGTTCGGATTTTTGAACATTTGGCTCCTCGTGTTTCATGCCTCAGAGACTGCTTGCCAAAACTTAACTTTGCAGCCTTTCGTCTGGGAGCTCATGGTCTGGCAATTATCGCAAGGAACTGATGAGGTCTCTTACTGCAGTTAACTCCTTGAAGGACTAATGCCTGGACGTTTCGGTGGGTGAATGCAATTAATTCACAAGAAGAAAATAAAGAGAGGGGTTTTCGTGACAAGGAGTGTGTTTCTTGTGTCTGCTAAGGCTGGGTCAGAACAGGGAGAGTGTGACATTGGGCAAGAGAAAAAAAGATTGTGAATGGTTGGGTGTTTCTAGTTTAAACTATTCCAGAGTTTTTAAAAGAACAGAATTCATCAAAAATCTAAATTTATGTGGCACGAAATCACGGGCTGGTCCGTTCCCAAAACAGGGAGTCCATCCAAAATGTTGTATTGCAACATCAACCGTGTTTCTCCGAAAATAAGACCCTGTCTTATATTTTTTTGAACCCTGAAATAAGCCCTTGGCCTTATTGCCATGCGCTCAAAAGCCCGATTGGGTTTATTATCAGGGGGTGTCTTATTTTCAGGGAAACAGGGTATTAACTAAAATAGATTCTTGTTTGTCTTTTCAAGCACGCTTTGAGAGAAGAGTGCTTGTAATGGCTTTACTACTTGGATTCTTCAGCTCCGTCACATGTAAAACTGAACACAAAGCGGGATAGGGAAGTCCCAAGAAATCCACAAGAATGTATTCGCTCTCATGAAAAGCAGTAGCTCAAATGGCGTAATTGCTTGCTTAAATAATACAGGGCACCCGCATTTCCACTATATTACAGCCCATTAAAATGGAAAAGCATGTTGATGCTTGACTCCTTGTGGCATATGACCACTCATCCCTATGATTTTTCTTGGCATCAATATTGCAACGGTTTGCCAATGCCGTGTTTTCTGATTTTTGTAGACTATCATCCCTGGTATTTTGCTGGTCGTCCTCAGCCAAGGACTAACCACAAACACACAGAGACAGTTGCCAAGAAGCAGACAAGCTTGGCCAACAACCACTGTCAGCTGAGGCTCTTCACTCTAAACAAGAGAACAAATAAATCTCCAATATGTTACTTCCTGCAAGATAGCAAGCAGAGCTTAATCCACGGATAACAACTGAAGGCGTCCAGTGATTTATCATGAAAATATCTCACAAAACTTTCACAAAAGGGACCTTTAAAAACAAAAAGAAATAATATAAAATCTGGTCTTGAAGCAACAGCAACCTACAGAAAATAAAAACAGCAAAATAACACCTGATCCTTAAAATACTTTTTTTAAAAGGCTTGAGCATTATAGACCAAAACCTGTACACTGCCATCCTCAATAGGATGAACTTCTCTTATAGTGACTAAGGTTGACTCAGACTTCCATCCTTCTGAGGTTGGTAAAATGAGGACCCAGACTGTTGGGGGCAATATGCCGACTCTGTAAACCGCTTAGAAAAGGCTGTAAAGCACTATAAAGCGGTATATAAGTGCAAGTGCTATTGCTATTGGTCTTCCTTCCTTCCTTCCTTCCTTCCTTCCTTCCTTCCTTCCTTCCATCTTCCATCCATCCATCCATCCATCCATCCATCCATCCATTAGAATGCAGTATTGCAGGCTAATTCTGTTGACTGCCAGCAGTTCAATCCTGATGCTGTCAAGGTTGAATCAATCTTCCATCCTTCCGAGATGGGTAAAAATGAGGACCCAGACTGTTGGGGGCAATATGCCGACTCTGTAAACTGCTTAGAGAGGGCTGTAAAGCACTATAAAGTGGTATATAAGTGCAAGTGCTATTGCTATTGGTCTGTCTTCCTTCCTTCCTTCCTTCCTTCCTTCCTTCCTTCCTTCCTTCCTTCCATCCATCCATCCATCCATCCATCCATCCATCCATCCATCCATTAGAATGCAGTATAGCTAATTCTGTTGACTGCCAGCAGTTCAATCCTGATGGGCTCAAGGTTGAATCAATCTTCCATCCTTCCGAGATGGGTAAAATGAGGACCCAGATTGTTGGGGGAAAGATGCTAACTCTGTAAACCGCTTAGAGAGGGCTGTAAAGCACTGTAAAAAATATAAGTCTAACTGCTATTGCTGTTGCTATCTGTTGCAAGTTGTATCATTTGCAACCCCTATATCATTTGAGCCATAACATCGTTAAGCAATTGATGACTTTTGCACAAAGGTATCAATCAGGCCAAAGTCATAAATTCATACAAGTAACAGAATGTCACCTCACAACATTATTGTGCAAATTGGGTAAATCTCCAGGATATGCTATTTTCTGATTAAGTGGACATTCCTGAATAATTTTCAGCCTCCCACAATTAGTCTTTAAAGCAAGACTTCACTGTGGATGGGATATTTTGCAATTTTATAACGTTGCTTTACAATTTTTTTAAAAAAATTTAATCTTAAATTATTCGGTTTTCAATGTTTTATTAGATTGATTAAACTGTACGTTGCCCAGAGCCCCTGTATGAAGTAAGTGGGTAGTTAAGAAGTTTGATATATAAATAAATAAAGATGCTACGGGGGGAAAAAACATAGGAAGTTTGAACAGCAACAATCGTATAATTAACGAATGCCTGTTTAAAATTGTCGTTCACAATGCAATTGCCGTTATGGTGATAAGCTTCAACATATTTTGTTCAAAAAAAAAAAATGAACTGAAGGACAGGACCTCTATTAATCCTTTTTACCGCTGCTAAAATGGACTACAACCTGAAAACATATATTCCATAATAAATGTATTTATTTATTAATACATTGGTGGTGGCACAGTGGTTAGAGTGCGGTACTGCAGGCTACTTCTGCTGACTGCCGGCTGCCTGCAATTTGCCAGTTCAAATCTCACCAGGCTCAAAGTTGACTCAGCCTTTCGTCCTTCCGACGTGGGTAAAATGAGGATCCAGATTATTGTGGGCAATATACTGACTCTGTAAACCGCTTAGAGAGGGCTGTAAAGCACTGTAAAAAATATAAGTCTAACTGCTATTGCTGTTGCTATCTGTTGCAAGTTGTATCATTTGCAACCCCTATATCATTTGAGCCATAACATCGTTAAGCAATTGATGACTTTTGCACAAAGGTATCAATCAGGCCAAAGTCATAAATTCATACAAGTAACAGAATGTCACCTCACAACATTATTGTGCAAATTGGGTAAATCTCCAGGATATGCTATTTTCTGATTAAGTGGACATTCCTGAATAATTTTCAGCCTCCCACAATTAGTCTTTAAAGCAAGACTTCACTGTGGATGGGATATTTTGCAATTTTATAACGTTGCTTTACAATTTTTTAAAAAAATTTAATCTTAAATTATTCGGTTTTCAATGTTTTATTAGATTGATTAAACTGTACGTTGCCCAGAGCCCCTGTATGAAGTAAGTGGGTAGTTAAGAAGTTTGATATATAAATAAATAAAGATGCTACGGGGGGAAAAAACATAGGAAGTTTGAACAGCAACAATCGTATAATTAACGAATGCCTGTTTAAAATTGTCGTTCACAATGCAATTGCCGTTATGGTGATAAGCTTCAACATATTTTGTTCAAAAAAAAAAATGAACTGAAGGACAGGACCTCTATTAATCCTTTTTACCGCTGCTAAAATGGACTACAACCTGAAAACATATATTCCATAATAAATGTATTTATTTATTAATACATTGGTGGTGGCACAGTGGTTAGAGTGCGGTACTGCAGGCTACTTCTGCTGACTGCCGGCTGCCTGCAATTTGCCAGTTCAAATCTCACCAGGCTCAAAGTTGACTCAGCCTTTCGTCCTTCCGACGTGGGTAAAATGAGGATCCAGATTATTGTGGGCAAATATACTGACTCTGTAAACCGCTTAGAGAGGGCTGTAAAGCACTGTGAAGTGGGATAGAAGTTTAAATACTATTGCTATTCAGTTCTAACTAATTTTGTTTTTGCTGCAACAGGCTAACTTGGTGATGAATACTATGAAGGGGTGCTTTTAATTCTTTGTAATCTCCCTGACAAAATTCTTAATAACTTCCATTAGGAAATAATGGAAATAAGGTTTATTTATCAAATGGCTTTCATTTTCAAAACTACTTTCACTCACTGGTGAATTCGTTCCATATCCATCACCACCCTAACCATTACAGAGAATTTTGAGTTGCAAACTATTAGTGGCTAATTAGAAACTATTGAACAATTATCTTTATGGGATAAGACATGATCAAGCTATTACACACAATTATGTGGTCACTGAGAAAGATGAAAATGTCACAAGGGCTGTCTATTATTTATTTATTGAATTTATTTATTGAATTGATATTGCCGCCTATTCGCCCATGCCGATTCAAGGTGGCATACAGAATATAAAACCTCATTTAAAACAATAAAACTAATAAAAAGAATCAAATAAATTAATATAATAAACTAAAATCAACCCCCACCCCCCATCCCAGCGACAGCAGATCACACGAGCCATTTAATGGGCTCCATCCCTCTCTGGGTACCCCAGGCTGGCTGGCAGAACCAGATCTTCAGCATCTTCCGGAAGAGTATTAGAGTGGAGACCGTTCTAATCTCTGGGGGAATGATGTTCCAGAGAGAGGGAGTCACCACCGAGAAGGCTCTTCTTCTGGGTCCCACCAGGTGTATTTCCCTTGGGGATGGGACCCACAGCATTTCCTGCCTCCCCGCTCTGATGGGTCAGGTAGATGTGACCGGCAAGAGATGGTCCCTCAGATAACCTGGTCTCAACATATTAGCATTTTTATTTGAAGTAAAATTGACTTTCTAGCAGTGGTGAAATCCTACTGGTTCGCACCAGTTCTGGCAAACCGGTAGTGATAAAATCAGCGAACTGGTAGTAAAAAAAAAAGCTACCGGTTGGTCCGAACCGGTATTTCCGATGATCAGCTGTGCCGCGCAGTTTATATTCGCTAGAAAGCAGGAAATCCTGCTTTCTAGCGAATCTAAATCACGCGGCACAGCTGTTCCCCCCCCCCGCTGTTCCTACTTACCTTCAAACGGCTCCTTTTTCCGCATGAAGTGTGTGTTTGGTGCGCACTGCACATGTGTGCGCAGCATGTGTTTTGTGTGCTCTGTGCATGCGCATGCAGCATGCGTTTGGTGCACAGTGCACATGCACAGGCACAGTGTGCATCTGGCATGTCCCACACATGCGCAGGCAAGCAAACCGCTAGCGACCCGCAGAGGATTTCACCACTGCTCTCTAGTCCTCTACTCAAGAAAATCAATGTCAAAGCCTGTTGGAATTCTCCATCCTCAAATAGTCAACTTTTAATTACTGATTTCACTTTTCTTATTGAAAGGAACTGTTTCATTCAGAAGTTTGATAGATCAATGGCACAAAACAATGCTCTATTCGCAATATAGATACAACACATCCATTGAGAATATTAAAACTTACCATCATTTTCTCAAACAAGTCCATAACTTCTTTTTCCGATAAATTCATTGAGCGTTCGTCAAACAGTGGCTGAGCCACTGGCAATTCGTTTATAGAGGCCGGTGAGTCGATAGGATGCTGGATAAGAAGTCTTTCCTTTTTGACTCCAGATTTCCTAAAACTAGTTAATCTGTCCCGCTGCAAAAAGAAAATAAATATTCTTAAACGTAGATGTTTTGGAGAAAACACATCGAGACATTACTTCACATGCTAGCAACAGAGGAATAATCATGCCCAAAATTAAGCCATACTGCTTATTTCTGAGACTGTACTTCGTGTGCTTTGTTTTACCTAATCGTGGTTACTGGACAGAATCAGGATATGTGGTTTATTAAAATAGAGAAACTCCAGATCTGGAACCAAGTAACTTTTTGAAGCAAGAAAAGCTAAGTTTAAACCGAGCCGATTCTTACTCTGCATCTATTTCTTGCTATTAATCAATAAATAAGGCACAATTTGACTGAGATTCTAGAAGCACATTGTTCTCTGAAGTCTTTTAGGCCAATACTAAAACCCACTTCGTGTACAAAATTAGAAGAAGGTATTTAAAGAAAGAACACTCAGATTTTGAGAACATTTTTACATATCTAACACTTAGTTTTGTTCTTACATAATCACAGTGCACTCGGCTTCAGCGGCAGAGACATACCTCATCATCTAAAAGGGGCATCATTTCCATAAACTGATAACTGGAGAATGTTTAATAAGATGAATGTAAGTCCCTTTTGTAAGGCCTGAACCAAGGCATTTTTAAGGCCCTCCATGATATAAGTACAGTCTCATCGTAGAAACAAATCAGCTGTAAAAATGCCTTACATAAGATAAAGTTACATGCTTCATCACATTAGTTGAAGATAACATTAAGAAGCGCAATGTTGCAGGCAAAAGGGCCTTAATCTATTGTTTCTCTCAGCACTGCATGCATGCCTGGTTATGCATTAGTAGAAAAGAATCTATTTTTTTGCTTTTGCTTAGCCGGAAGATATTCAGTATAAACGAGGGTCAGCAAAAGGTGGGAGCCACTTCGGGTGATGGGAAACTTTCATGAGATGAATGAGCTGGGTTGCAGCCTGGTGAAATTCAATACGATTTTACTGGAACAGGCTATGAGTTGCAATACATCCAGTGCTCCAAGAGAGCAAAATTGCAGCAATGGCTAATTCCCTCCAAGGAGGTGTGAATTTATAGTATGTGTTGAATTGGGAGATTTTTTTAAAAAAAAATAAACAGATCAGTCATAGCCAGGGTGGATTTGATTTAAATCAAGTCGCTTTAAATCACGATTTTAAATCACGATTTAAATCACTAGTAAAAAAAGGCTTGATTTAAATCAACTCGATTTAAATCATAATTTTTTAAAGAGCAACTTTCATCTCTGTCCGCAGCGGCTCCTCCTCTGATCCGTTGTTGACTCACCAATAGTCTCAATATTGCAGAATATATAGCCTCATGCTACCTAACTAAGCTCCGTTTCATGCTGAATAAACTAAATTATTAATGTTATCTTAAATAGAAAAATATCTTTAGATAGATTTTTTAGTCCAAAAGCATTTTATTAAAATAAATTTGATAAAAAAAAATTAAAAAATCCGATTTAAATTTTTTAAATTTATAAAATTTAAAAGTCGATTTTTTTATCCACCCTGATCATAGCTAAGGCTGCCATACCATATTTTTTGGAGTATAAGACGCACCTTAGTTTTTGGGGAGGAAAATAAGAAAAAAGCTGATTGGTAGGTGGATCGGCCTCCCAGAATACCCCCAATCAGCTGTTCCCAGAGGTGAATTTTAGCAACAGGTTCCTTGGTTATGAACTCTGTGCCTTGCTTTTTTTTTCTACCTCTGAAACTTCTGAAACTCTGTTTCAGAAAAAAACTTTTTTTCCTGCCTCTGAAAGCCTCCAAAACAGAGCTTCAGAAAAAAAGCCTCTGAAGCTCTGTTTGGAGGCTTTTTTTCTGAAGCTTCGTTTCTGATGCTTTTTTTCAACCTCTGAAACCTCCGTTTGAGAAGCTGGGTGGGACTACATTCGGAATATAAGACGCACCCAGATTTTCACCCTCTTTTTGGGGGGGGAAAGGTGCGTCTTATACTCTGAAAAATACGGTAATTGCCATGCAGGCAGCACAGATTAACAGCACATGTTGATGATGCCAAAGCTTTTTTGGAATCAGAATACAACATAATATCAGGCAACTTTATCTACTTCCCATTTTAGAAGACTAGTTAAAATTATATCAACACATGGAAGGCTAATTTGATCTGTCATGGCAACCAATTTAATTTCAAGATTTCCCTGGAATACAAATTCTCTTTGGTTGGAGGTGACCGCTTGTTGTGATCCTAGTGTAAGAAGCAGTTAGGATGTTAGTGGTTATTAATAGGAGCACATCATACATTTCTATTTATAATTAAGGTTATGTGATATATTGTAAGCAACATGCACTAAAATACAAACCCACATATGAGGATCTTACCACATCATCTGCCAAAGTTTTTATCTGTAGATTCTATTCAAATCAAGAAGACAAGAAAATGTGTGTTACCTAGCGTAAATCAAATTTAGAGATCCCTCTTTTCATTTGCATTGAAACCTTTTCTTATTTTCTCACTAAATATCAGCCTCAAAGGGTATCAACCCTATTGCCATCACAGAAGCTTCCTCTGGAGCAGGGTTCACCAACCTTTCAGACCTCAGGGACCACTAAATTCATAATTTTAAATCCCGCGGACCACTAATATGATCTGCCTAATGACCAGCTGGGTGGGCGTGGCTAGGTGGTCACGTGACTGGGTGGGTGTGGCCAACTCAATGTCACTCACATCGAGGGGCGCCTCGATGGCCTCTACTCACACCTCCCCTCCCAGTCACTCCTCGCCTGCCCGCCTGGGCTCCTTAGGTTCCCAACAGGAAGCAGTTGTTGGAGCTAAGCAGCCACCATGAGAAAGAGTTGTCAAAACAGCTCAATTCAAATTGGATCTGACCGAGAAGGAGGCTCAGCAGAAGCACCTCACTGAGGACTACGAGCATAGGCTTTCCAAGCAGAGGGAAGACCTGTGGAAGTGCAAGGCCAGGTACCGGCATCTGGAGACTCAGCGCACTGAGATGGTCAGCCTTTTCCAGGCCATGATGGAAGGAGGCCCTCTGGCTCTTCGCCATCAGTGGTACTTCCCTCCAGCCTTCGCCCAAAACCCCGCACTAGGAGGCTGAAGCAGAACCCAAGTCGGAATTTCTGCCCCCCTCTGACCCGCAGAAATAGACCCTGAAGGGGGAGACTCTCTGCAGCAACACAAATGTTCATTGCACGTATCCAGCCCAGGGGCCGTAGTTTGAGGACTCCTGGTTTAGTGCAATATAAAAAATGCAAATAATTTTTCTGCGGACCACCAAAATTTTCTCGCAGACCACCAGTGGTCCAAGGACCACCCGTTGGTGAGCGCTGCTCTGGAATGCAGGTATTACACCACATTACTCTTAAACCAGACATGGATGGCACAGGAATTCTGGGAGTTGAAGTCCATTGTTGCCCAGCCCCTGCTCTAAACCCATCTATTCAACCATTCAAAACTTTCCAGTTTTCACCACGAAACCTGTACAAAGAATATAAACTACAGAAGACCTTAGAACGGAAAGAAAGAAAAAGCCAAGAAAGCTATTTGGTGGGATATATTATTTTCACGCTGCCCGTTTAGAATCAACACAAAACAAAGGCTTATAATTGGAAAATTGGGTCTGTAAGATACAACATTTTGATCACTAAGAATATTATGCTGCAAAACCTTAAGATGAACGCTCAAAATATAAGGTAAAACAAGAAGCTGATTTTTAAGTTAATTTGGAAGTTTTAATAATGTACTTGGCCAAAATGTACAATACAGTCCTAAAAGTAGGATGATGGTTAGTTATATAGGCACCCTTTCCCAATTCCTTCCTTCCTTCCTTCCTTCCTTCCTTCCTTCCTTCCTTCCTTCCTTCCTTCCTTCCTTCCTTTCCTTCCTTTCCTTTCCTTCCTTCCTTCCTTCCTCCTTCCTACCAACCTTCCAACCAACCAACCTTGACTGCTATGGCTTGAACTACCAGACTCCTCCTTTACCAAAATGTTACTATGCTTTCGGAGATTCTTAGAAAACAAAAGTAATAGAATCTGCTTTACTAGAATGGTATTCACCTACTTCTGTCAAAATAATGTAACACAAGGATGATAAAGACATCATGGGAAGTTATAGGAACTAGATTACTAGATTACTTTTTGGTAAATGACTACTATGTACACCTAACCTATTTGCCGATTAATCTCCAGAGTACATTCTCAACATTCCAAATGCTCTCACCAGCACCTCTCACCCCAAAATAGCTTACTTCTAATCAAGCTTAGCTATCCTTGCCTTTGATCACAATTCTTCATGATGCAATTTGAGCTACAGTAGTATAGTAATTAGGATCTTGGACTGAAATTGGGGAAAAAAAACAGGTTTATGTGCATCTTTGGCCACTGTTCAATCATCAACTCTAAACCAGCCATCCTCTCCCACTTCAATGGAAAATGTAGGAAACATGTGAGAAGAAGCACTATGTATCTGATCTTGCATAAGAAGTGAGGGATAGACACCTTGCATATTAATTAATTAAAATGCAGGTTGGTTCTGCAGGTATTGAAGGCTTTTAAAGAGCCACTTCTTTAGGAACAAAAACCTAGCTTGACATGATTTACTAGCTTGTAAAATTTGGAATTTTACTCAGTGGGGACATGGTGGCTCAGTGGCTAAGATGCTGAGCTTGTCGATCGAAAGGTTGGCAGTTCAGTGGTTCGAATCCCTAGTGCCGCGTAACGGGGTGAGCTCCCATTACTCTTCCCAGCTTCTGCCAACCTAGCAGTTTGAAAGCACGTAAAAAAGGCAAGTAGAAAAATAGGTACCACTTTTGGTGGGAAGGTAACAGCGTTCCATGCGCCTTTGGCGTTTAGTCATGCCGGCCACATGGCCATGGAGACGTCTTCAACAGCGCTGGCTCTTTGGCTTTGTAACGGAGATGAGCACCGCCCCCTAGAGTCGGGAACAACTAGCACATATGTGTGAAGGGAACCTTTACCTTTAAAATTTGGAAAAGTCCTTCAAACTATGACACAGAACTATCGATAGCTTTAAAAAAAATTTTTTTTCTCATGATTTATCATAGAAACTCGGGGGTCACTGCTGCTTAAGTAGCAATCTCTTATTCTAGTAAACAAACACATTTTCTCTGGGAACAGTAATAAAAACTGTTAGGTGCTTACTCTCATCCAATGTGCCACCTCAAGTCATTTGTTTCGTTTGACTCATACAGATGTGACTAGAACATTTCTTCTTTTATGTTATGTATTCCAAACTATTTTTAGAAAGGACATGCAGCGCTATATTTCTGTTTCATATAATAACTCAAGCAAAGTCATTTTGGAAAGTGAGTTTGAAGCTATTGTTGAATTCTGGACGTATTCCTATTATTATTATTATTTTCAGCAATATGCCACATGTTGTATTAAATTCTGCCACGCTTATTTATTCCAATGTATTTTATTTATCAATAATGCATAAGATTCTTCACTTCAAAGCTCATCACAAACAAGAGAAAAGCTATTACCATACAATCCCGCTTGTTTTCGAGCTTTAACTGTGACTGATTAATCATTCCTGTAACAGCACAGGAAATCCTTAAAGTGTTCCATCAATGTTGCCATCTCAAAGCAGACATAATTCAAGGTGTAACTAGTCAATTATTCCAACTAGCATTCTTGAAGGATGACTTGAAGTCTACCTTCCTTAACAATCTGAACTCAATCTCGCTTTAATTGCCCTAACCGAGATGAACAAGTTTGGTCTAAAATCCACTTTTTCTTCAACAGGCCACTGAACTGCAGGGGTTGGGAAATAACACAGATCACTTTTTCTATCTATTTAGAAAATTGAATCCATGCTGGATAGGGCATAAGCAAGCAATTTCTACCCTTAATGTTTGCATTTATTTCGAAAAGTGCACTGCTTAGAGAAAATGAACGAGCTGACATGGAAATGCAACGTGATTTCGGTGCTGCTCAATTTGAAAATTCCCTCTACTGTAAGAGGCCCAGTCCACCCACCCACCCCAATCCACCAATATTTGATGATAAAAAGGACAAAAAAATAACATATGTGAACATATAGCCTGACCTTAATTTGCCACTTTAAGAGCGTGTTGGTTAAATTTCAACTTGCACAGCACTCATAATTCAGATAATGAGCATATAATGTAAACAAATCTTTTGAAGCAATGCTGATGCATTACTAATTAGTAAGTCCAGTCCCCACACAAGGAAGTGCATAATCTTATTTAATGAGTCATGAGTTCCCACCAAATGGGATCGATTCCAATTAATTCCACTAGGAGTCTCCACACAATTAGGAACACAACCAAGAACACACTGCAAAGGGAAGCGGAAGCCACAACATCTGGAAACATAGAACAGTGCACTGGAAAAAGACCCACAAAAGCGAAAAAAGAAGGAAGAAAAGCCACAAGGGCCACAATCTGGGACGACAGAACTGGATTTTCCACCCACAAAGAATATAATTTGCTTAGCCACTGTAATTGACTGGGCAAACAAACGATCCAATTGCGGTTTTTAGGCGGGAAAAGGACGTGTTTTACAAAAATGACGGCTTATCCCGATTAGCAAAGTTTAACCCGAGGGAACAGCACATGAACCACAAGCCATGAGCTTTTCTCATGAAAAAGAAAAGAGGGTTAGGAAGGACTTCACTTCAGGGGTCATTAAAATCAAGCAATTTATTCAAATTGCACCAAAGACAAATTCCTTGTCCAATCACACTTGGCCAATAAAGAATTCTATTCTATTCTATATCAGAGATGGCGAACCTTTTTGGCACTGAGTGCCGCAACCCAGAACAGGAGCCGCCAAGGGCGCATGTGCGAGCCCGAAAATGAACTTCCGGTTTTAGCTACTGAACTTCCAGGTTTGAGCCAGCTACTCTTCTGGCCTCCGGAGGGCCTCCAGGGGTTGGGGAAGGCCGTTTTCACCCTCTCCAGGCTCCTAAAGAGGCTCTGGAGCCTGGGGAGAGCAAAAAACAGGCATATCGGGCCCACAGGGCCATTGTGTGCCAAAAGTGGGGGGAGAGCGGGGGGGTGTCACACACATGCATGGGGGTGGGGTGCATATAATTATGGGTGTGAGCATGTGCAGGCACAACCCCCCCCCACTCTCCACGCTTCTCTTCTGGGTTTCTGGCGCGCATGTGCGCGTGACAATCAGCTGGCTGGCGAGCATGCTCAACTCAGGAAAATGGAAGACCAGCTCTTCCAGTTTCCGCACTGCCGCATGCAAAAAGGCCAGCTGATCATCGCGCGCGCATGCACACCAGAAACCCGGAAGAGGAATGGGCGATGCCACACGTACCAGGCGACATGGCTCTGCGTGCCACTTCGGGCACACGTGCCATAGGTTCGCCATCACGGGTCTAGACTTTTGTTGAATGAAAA